GGAGGGGTCAGGGAGGGGTCAGGGAGTCCTAAAACTGCAGTTCGGCCTTCAAGCTGAGTAAAGACGGGATGAAAGGGAGAAGGCAGGAGAGGCGACAGAGGAGGAAAACCCACGACGTGAGAACAGACTTCATGTGTCTGGAGCAGGAACGCGGCCTCGCGCGACAGGACACAGGGTCTGGAGGGGGCGAGGGGTCAGGACTCGGGAAGTTACGGCGAAGGCTGAGCCGGAAGCGGAGATCGTTACTAGATGCGTAACTTCAGAGAACCGGCGTGGGCCCGGGGTATTCCATCACCCAGAAGATGCCGTGTCCGTGCCCGGCAAAATAAAAGGAAATGATATGATGGAGAAGGACCTTCCGAACGCACCATCTCCTAACTGTGGTAAGCGACCTGGAGACTTCTGTTCATCCTAAAGTCACAGCACTCCACGCGGTCATCGTACCTGCAGGCGTCACCGCACCTGCAGCCCGAGGTGCCGGACGCGCAGTAGCTGGGGCTTCAGGTGTGACAGCCTTCGGCTCCAAACCAGGTGGACATTCTCCTGGAAGGGCCGAGGGGTGTGGGGTGTGGAGGTGCAGGGAGAAGCTGGGCAGGAAGACAGACGTAGGGGGAGGGAGGGAGGGCTGAGAGCAGAGGAGGGGCAGGGGCTCGCTCGGCGAGGGGGCATCTGAGGTGTGAGTCTGTGTGTGTGTGTGTGTGTGAGGCTGGGTGTGTCTGTACGTGTGTGTGTGTGTGATTCTGTGTGCGTGTCTGTGTGAGTCTGTGTGTAAGTATGTGATTGTGAGTCTGTATGTATATGTTAGTGTGTGTGTGTCAGTCTGTGTATGTGTGAGTCTGTGTGATTCTGTGTGTGTCTACGTGAGTCTGTGTGTGTGAGTGTGCGAGTCTACGTGAGTCTGTGCTTGTATGTGAGTGTGTGTGTCTGTGTGCATGAGTGCATGTGTCTGTGTGTGTGAGTCTGTGTGTGTGTGTTTGTGCTTGTGTGTCTCTGCGTGTGTATCTGTGAATGCGTGTGTGTGTGTGTGTGAGCCTGTTTGTGGGCACTGCCGATGCTCCCAGGAGAAACTGAGGGAGGCGAGTGTGCCGTGTCCCCGAGGATGCAGGATGGAGACGGCCCCACCGACAGGTCCAAGAACAAAGGCCCCATTTTCTGAAAGCCGAGGGGACCCACGGCACAAGGGATGGTGGTCCGTGACGAACGGCAGGTGGCATGGGAGCCCACAGACGTCGCTCCGGGACTAACGCAAGGCCGGGACACCTCGAGGTCGCCAGAAGTGTCCCTGCGGCCTGCGAGGGGCCCGTGGAGAGGACGGCCCGGGGCAGCAGGCGGGGCCCTGGGGGTCCTGGACCATGGCACGGGGCGCGGGGGCTGCGGGGAAAGCGGTGCGCTCCCAGCACACACGTGTCTTTCAGCAGACGGCAGCGGCTCCTGCCCCTTTCCCTCAGGGGCTTCCGCACACGCGGGCCTGGCCTCTCGGGAGAACACGGTCTTCGCGTATGTGCCCCTGGAAGCCCCGCGTCTGTTCTCTCACTACTCTGGCCCCCGCACGCGCCCGCTCACGTCTTCAAGGACGGCGCTCGGCTGCCTCCACGGCGCACGTGACATGACAACTTAACACAAGGTAGTTCCCAGGGGCGCGGGAGCGCACCCACCTCCCTGACAGCTCCATCCGCCTTCCCCAGGGGCTCCACCGCCACGAAGGCGTGTTTGGTCCCTTAATGACCATCGAGGCTAAAACTCACTTAAAACGTGGTCACGTTTCCTTGACCGAAAGTAGAAAGAAGTGAAATCTAGCCCACAGAGCTGTTCTGAGGAAACAACGAAAACCACAAAACCACAAGAAGCTTTTGAGGAGAAGGTCAGAAAGCCTGGCGAGAAACCACTTGGGTTTGGAATTGGACATGCGCTACTTGGCGGGAGAGCCGCGGCTCGAGCCAGCGAACACCCACAGTTGAGCCGGGTTCCTGCTGCGGGCCTGGCCGCTTGCTCCGAAGACAGAACTTAGGGGATTTCTAGAAAGCCCACAGCGATAAGTGGTGTAACCCTTAGCATAAAACTACACGAATGCCAGCTAAGGTTACTGAGTTACTAACCGATCCCTTCATTGTCCGTTTCCGTGGAAGGGGACGTGGAGAGAAAGAATTTATTTGCAAAGCTAGAGAATGGCCTAATACGTACGACGCAAAGCCAGAGGCTTAAAATCTACGATTGCTGCTCCACATGGGTAATAAAGACGCTGACAGCAATTACGTGCACGGCAATCATCCAAACAAAGCGGCGGCAAATTGGAAGACGTGGCTAATCAGGAAGTCCCAACTGGGTTTTTTAAAATACGACATAGATCCTAAATACAGTGCTGGAGACCCCTTCAGAAAGCCTCGGGAGCAGTCGGCGGACGGCTCTGTCCGGCCCCCGGGCCGCCCGGCGTCCACGCGCAGGTGCCTCAGCCTTCCCCTTGCGGTGCTAAGTGCCCGTCTCCGCGAATGAGATGTCCGCACCCAAAATAACTCGCAAGTTAGTGGGCATTTACTTACCGCAGACTCTGCTCATTGCCAAAACCATATCCTCGTACACTGAAAGGAAGAAGGAGAGGTGCCGTTACGACGTACGCTTTTATCAGGACGCAGCATTTTCACGTTTAATTAAATGGATACAGGAAATCGTCATGTTCATTTGAAAAATGAAACATTACAACGGTGACATTTATCCATTAAAGGTTCACGTGTGTCATAAATCCCTCTAACCTGTTCGCTTTTTAAACAAGGAACAAGAAAACCTTACGCCACGTAAATCCGACTATACCTTTAATTGAATTTAACTTCCTCGCTGTTTCAATCATTTTAACTGCATTAGTAATGGGATAAAACCTGGCTTACGATGACACGCTCAAATGGCGTTTCTAATGAAGGCGAAGTAACATCACACATTCTTCTAGAACACTGAAGCAGGTTAGAATGGAAATAAAACACAAATCTTTCTCCTGCTGCGTTACCGCCATAAGGACACGGACGGACGTGCCCTCATAGCACGTGGCATCCCGCTGGCAAAACGGATCTCTCGTTGCGGGGAGCAAAGAGGATTTTGTTTTACCTTTGCCAGCGATCTCCAGGACAGACACATCTTGACCTCTGTCGTCTTTCAACGTTGCCTTGTATTCGCCGAGGTCCTTCTTTGACAGCTGCAAGAAAACATACCCCACGTGCGTGTAAAATCAATGCCAAGATGGAAAATGTAAGAAGTGCTAATACGGTTTTTAGCCAACCCTGGGAATTCAGGCCACAAACTGGGAGACAGCGCAGGATTTGCAAGTTATTAGAAAGACGAGCTTTTGTTTGGCCCTCCACCGTTTCACACAACACGGCGTACCTTCGGTATGAGGAGCTGACAAACTCCCTTCTCCAGGTCAGGCAACGTCTCCGTTTCATACAGAACGTCATCCTTCAGCCATTTGAAAACTGTGTCTTTCTTAGTGTTTGCAACCTACGAGGCAGAAATCTTACGGTTAGTATGTAAATCGCTCCAGGAAAAAGTCTCTGGATTTTAAATCACAGACTTTAAAAAAAAAATACCATCAATGTTTATTATAGCCTCAAATAGAGGCTTATGGAAAAGCTGTCCGTCCTAATAATGGCCAACAGACTTCTAAATTCCAGCTTCTGAAATAATTAAGCCCTCACAGTTGCACACAGAAGGACAAATTGTCCTAGTCCGCGGAATTAAATGATGTGAGGCGCTTTTGGTTTATGTGAAATGCCAGTAATAAAAACAAGTCGTAAGCAGTGTATTTTAAATTTGCAGATAATATGAAATACTCTTAGACGTCTATAAGACCATTCACTGGCTGCTTTTCAGCAGTGGGACATTTCAGATGTGTCCGTATGGAGTGAATGCAACCATAACACAAGATAAGCCCACTGGGAATGGGAACTCCCCTTGTACTAAAATTCCTCACAAGTCAACCTCTGACGTGAGCTTGAATTTGAAACTAAGCTTTGCAGAATTCCAAGGGGGAGTACGCATGTCGATCCACATGCTGTGACACTGACACGTACATCATACGGGTGAGAAAGAAGCCTGGTTCCTATGAACGGAATGTACCGGCCACACCAGAATGCACGGGCTGGACTTACATCCGTTTCATTTACTAGATGCATTTACATCCCATACGGGCTCAGCCACAGTGAGGCCAGTGTCGAACAAACAAATGACAAGTATCCAGACAGCGAGACTCGATCCGATTGCGCGGTAGCACGGCCCAGAGCTTCCGCGTGGGCCCTGAGCTGGTGTCACTGGTGACAGCGTCAGAGCGCCATCCCCGGACAGCAGGGACTCTCACACTTGCACCCCAGGCCACAGCGGCACGCCCACGAATGTCTGCTGAGCGGGTGGACGGACTGTTCCCACCAGACTGTGGGACAGGAGCTTGGTTCTCTAGCCGGAAGCAAGAGTTGACAATAAATGGCAGGACGGACTGCATCCAAACAATTCCGGCAGACGACCTCCCGTCCCTAACCAAACCTCGGTATCCATTTTCAGTGTCAACCCTCCCCCTCACATCCTTCACCTCAGCTCAGTACTGCTTTCCTGACTCTGGTTTTCCCGGCTGCGTTGTCCTTGAGCGCTAAATAAACCCTTTCCAAGGGCCTCCCGCCTCTGTTCTCTACAACAGACACCCTCAACTGGCTTCCCGGTCCAAGAGCTGGGACGTTCTTCTGCCTCTGGAGGACTCTGGTCTTTCCTCTGTACTCTCTACGATTTCTCCCTACTGCTCCTAAAATACGGGCCCCTGAAATGTACATAAATACCTCGAAAAGACAGTAGCAAGACCCCCAAGACATCCACGTGGCACACGCCTGACTCACTCTCCAAGAGGGAGCGCCCTGAGTCCCCACGTCTGCTGTACAAGAACTTTCTAGAAGATTTTCTTTGGTTTCAGACTCAAGTTGCTTTTACTATAAACTTTTCTTTTAAAAGACGTTTTTTTCTGGGGCACCTGGGTGGTTGGATCGGTTAAGCGTCCAACTCTGGATGTCAGCTCAGGTCATGGTCTCATGGTTCATGAGATCAAGCCCCAGATCTGCCTCTGTGCTGATAGCATGGAGCCTGCTTGGGATTCTGTCTCTCTCCCTCTCTCTCTGCCCCTCCTCTGCTACCTCTCTCTCTCTCAAAATAAATAAACTTTAAAAAATATATACATAAATAAATTAAAGATGGTTTTCTGTAAAGTTATATGAATTATGTACCCTTACATAAATTATCTCCGTGTGTCTCAATGTCTCCATTGTTTCTTAAGTAAATTTTAAAAATCTGCCCAAGTATCATTAAGGGAAAAACTATGTAAAACAGGTGACAGAATCACAGGAGATGCGGACACAAGTACACAAATTAAGTGCATTAAACTGCAAAATACTCAAATCCCAGTTAATATGTATTCAGTTTCTCCAATAGCTGTGTTTAAACACTTATAAATCGCTTTGGTCAGGGAATGTGAATCGTCCTCACGGATTATATGTGAAGGCACGTACCACTGGGATGATAGCAGATGTACACGCAGAAGGAGAATTCCCATTTCGCCCATGGAGGCGGCTACTGAGTGCCCACAATCAGGAAAAGACAATGACCCAACCACCACCAGCCCCTCTGCCCCGGCTGGCCAACGAGAGCTGCTGACTGTCTGAAGAACAGACCTGGGCAGTTGCTGGGGTCGAAAACTTTGAAGATACACACCTTCTTTGCATTTGACAATCATCGGAAAACACTGTTGTTCTTCTGTTCCTGTTTCCGAAGTAAACGGCCCGTCCTTGGGGACCTTGTGGAGTTTCCCTGTAAATACCTACTGTTCCCACTTGCTGACCAGACACTTGTAACTTCGGTGCCCGTCAGCTTCTTGTACTTTAAGAATGAGGTGGGGGCGCCGGGCGGCTCAGTCCGTTCAGCATCCCACTTTGGCTCAGGTCATGGTCTCGCGGTTTATGAGTTCGTGTCCCTAATCGGGCTCCGTGCGGACAGCACGGAGACTGCTTGGGATTCCCTCTCTCCCTCTCTCTCTCTGCCCCTCACCCACTCACGTTCTCCCTCTCTCTCAAAAATAGATAAACATTAAAAAAAAAAATGTTTTTAATGAGTTTGTCTCTGCGTCTTCCTTATAAGCATACCGGGGTAAGAAACTCACTATGAGAAGAAGGACATCCAGGAATTTTTCTGAAATGGCTCTATAACAACCTCGAGTGTGTCAAATATCAAAACTTTGGCCTCAGTTATTACACACACAAAAAGGCCAGGAACAGGGCCTCTAGTTTTGAATTAGTCGCCAACACCAACAATGAGTGGGGGCGAACAGGAAAAGGTCGGGGTAAGCATGGGGTCTCAAGGCCCGCCGGGAATGCACCGAGGGCGCCCACGGCCCTCACGCGGCTGCCTCCTGCAGACCGTCCTTACCTCACGCCCCCTGTCCCGGGGCCCTGTGCCCCCGCCGCATGTCAGCGCCCTGCACGTTTCTGCACCTGAGCACGGGCCTCCCCTTTACCCCGGCCCCTCATCTGACAACAGCAACGTGGAGAAGCCGGCATCCTGGTGCCCCTGCCCCGCCACCCCGGCAACCCCACTGTCGCCCGTCTCCTCCTGCCCCCCCCCCCCCCGAATGCCAGCTCCCTGCACGGATGCACACCCGCATGGCCCACCTGCTCCTTCTCCATCAACCCATCAGGCCAGGGGCACAAGCGGCTGACGACTGAATCACCAGCACACAGCGCCCGTTCTCACCTCCTCAGACCGGCCCCTCACGCCGTGGTCCTGACCGTCGCCCGTTCTCACCTCCTCAGGCGAATGCCGCTCCATCCTTTATCCTACTTTCCTTTGCTTTCACCCCATAACTCTTTGTTCCCGACTTCACTGAGATACAGTTGGCAATATCATTATTTAAGTTTAAGGGATACGACGTGATGATACGATATTTTCAACTACCACGAGATGGTCACCACCTTAAGATTAATTAACACATCCATCCCCTTACATAATCACCTTTTTTTGTGTATATTTATGGTTGAGAACTCGAAGATCTGCCCTCAGCAGTTTTAAGGGTGTTATATGGTATTACCAACTACAGTCACCATGCTGTCCATTTACCAGCCCTAGAACTACTCATCTTACCACTGGAAGTTTGTGCTCTTTGACCAACTTCTCCCCAGTTCCGTAACCCCCAGCCCCTGGCAACCACCCTTGCGCTCTGCTTCTGTAAGCTCAGTTCTTTTAGATTCCACATATACGTGCGATCGTACGGTGTTTTCCTTCTCTGTGCGACTTACTTCGCTTGGCACAATGCCCTCAAGGTCCATCCATGTTGTCACAAGTGGCAGGCTGCCCTTCCTTCCAAAGGATGAATAACCCTCCACATTAAGGATACACACGCTGCATTAACCCATTCATCTGCCCACGGACACTTGGCTGCCTCCTTCGGCTGTTGGGAAAAATGCTGCGGTCCACACGGACGCACAGATACCTATCTGAGTTCCCGGTTTCAATTCCTTTCTCTGCCGGATCCTCAGATAATTCTACATTTAATTTTTGAGGACCTGCCTTACCATCTGCCACGACGCCCAGCCTCCGAATATCCACAAGTTGGCAGTTTCCGAGCTCCGTTGCTTTGTCCGTGCCCTGGGCCTCCCTGGACAAGTCTCTCCAACCTGACTGCCCCTGGACCATTCCTGGTCTTCCTCCAGTGTCCACCCCAAAAACCCTCACTCTGTTGAAATTCTCTGTTTACCTTCTCTTTCATCTGCTCGTCTGTGAGTAGCTTGAGGAACAAAACCCTGCATTATCGATCTTCCCCAGCACCTATGATAGTGCCAGTCTTGCAGGAGATGCTCCTTAAAGTCTGGTCCCCCAAACAGAGATCTGTATAGTCAGTAGTAACTAAGGCTTACTTTACTATTCAATTGTTAAAGAAAAGCATTAAGGAGCATCTTATTCCCAAAACATACCTTTTGTTTCTTAAAGAAACCACGTGAGCGGCACGGGAATCACCGGATGAATGTCATCGTGGCACACTGTCCCTGAGTTCACTCACCAAGATCTTAAATCTTCTAAACGGCCCACTTGACTTCCCTGGCACGCCACCACACCATAGTCCCCTCATAAAGAACAGAGACGGGCACGGAAGTGTAAGACCACAACGTCCACAAGATGCAAAGTCGCTCGGCACGCCCACGTGCGGCGTTTCTTCGCGTCCTGGGACGGACGGCACACGCTTCCCCGAAAGGGCTCTCGCCGGCCCACGGACGACACCTTACCACGCTCTTGTTGGAGCTCAGTCCTCACCTTACAAACAAGTCGAACCTCGCACTCGTCTGTAACATCCCAGTGCAAATATTCAGCAAAATGAGGGCCTGGGGGGAAAATAGAAAAGTTTTAAAAGGGGGAAAAAATACACACACACACACACACACACACACACACACACACACACACACATATATCACACCTACGCAATGCATATATATACACACACACACACACACACATATATATTACACACATACATATACATACATATATATCACACCCACACACACGCATATATATACACACACATATATACATATACATATATATACACACACATATACATATAT